CCACTGTATATACAGGCCCACTGACTGATTACAAGATTGTAGACACCTGTGATGCTAATTAGTGGACACACCTTGGTCACAATATTTTCGAGAAGGGGGACTCTACAGAACATAATGTCCTGTGGGTGGAGACGACCCTAATCATGATTGGTGGAAGTCTAGATGTGGGCAGAGATGGCCCAAGAGACGCAATTGGTCAGATTGACGGTGGGGTTTGAGGAGGCTGGAGGCAGCAAGGAGTAGCTTGGTCGAGTCGGGTAGGAAGAAACATGTTTTTTTAAGATTTTATACTGTGTGTGTGTGTGTGTGTGTGTGTATGTGTTGCCTGGAAAGACAAAGCGGATGTAAAGGTAGAGGCAAGACAAACTCGAACAAGGATACAGGTGTGGAGCAGGTGGGGAAAAAAAGAGACGTGTTGGAGATTTACCAGTTTGTTTAGGTACCGTAACACCATTGGTTGCACTGGGTGTCCTGGGATAAACGCACCTATAAAACAAGAGGGGAAGGAGGTGGTGAGGACATGTAGTACACTAAATGCATAAAAATAGATAAAAAGCTGCACTTTATGAAAATATATGCATATAAACCTATAAAACAACAAGCAGGACAAAGAAGCCAAACCAACCAGACAGACCCATATGCTGATCTGATGAGCTGACTCTGCTAACATCACTGAAAACATTTTTACTTCATGTAAAGAACTAGATGCTGTAGGCAAGAGTGTCAGAGTTATAAATCCAACATTTTTGAATTTATACATGTAAAGTTGTATGGATTCTCCGTAAATTACAAGGATTTTACCATATTTTGCAAGTATACAGACTTATAGGAATTTGTAAGGATTTTTTCAAAAAGCTTGATCCAAACTAAATCTTTGAGTCAGTAGGCTGTAAGGAAATACTGTATATTAGCCATCTCTCTGAACTCCCCTCACCCATTTCTGTGCCACTGCGTATGCCGTAATCTCCACCACTCCACAGCCAACAGTCCGCTTGTCCACTCCAACCCCCCACCCCTTTTTATTGTGTGAGAGTACTATGGATTTTTTGTGAAAATGACAGATTTCTGAAGGTCAAGATACAGGTACACATTCACAGAGGCTGACATGTGCATGTACAATGCATGCAAGTGCATTGCATGTATGCAGAAAATATCCCAGTCTTGGAAGAATTTGCTGCACTTGCAGGCAAACAGCTTCTCCCTCGAAACTATTTAATATCCTGTTGATGACTGGTCAGCTAAAAAGCTACAACCGTATTACTTGCTGGAGAAGGATCTGTTAAAATTATTGTTGGTCTTTTGAAAAACCCGTAAAGCAAGACAACTGTATTTAGAAAGCGGATGGCAACGCATTACTTTCATATGTCCTAATGTTTTTTTCCTCAAATATTAGCAAAATAAAATTTAACCTAAATGTGCTAAAATGACCATTGTGAAATTTTAAACACAAAGCTGAGCATTAAAACACATTTTATTTCCCCACAGTGCTGCAGCTAATGACCCATCCCATGACATAATCTACAAATAGGTATGAGAAAACTGCCCTGATGCATCTCAGTAATCCAGGTAGAAAAATCAAAAAGAAAAAGGAGAAAATGAAAACAAACAGTTTGTTGTTTTCATGTCAAAGAATGCGGACCATCTTATCAAAAGTGCACAATTCACCATCTCATCAAGATTCAGTGGGTCTTAAATGCAAAAAAAAACCCTCCACTTTTTCTAAGCTAATCATAAATCAAATTAAATGTATTTATGTATCATGTATAAAAAGAACTGCCGTTGGCAAAAATACTGCAGACAAAAACAGTTTTACAAAGACTGGGGAGGCTGTGGAGCAGTGGTAAGCAGAGTTGAAAAGTAACTAAGTACAAATACTTTGTTAGTGTACGTAAGTAGAATTTTTGGGTATCTGTACTTTACTTGAGTAATTTTTTTCAGCCTACTTCTTACTCCTTACATTTTTTTAAAAGACAAGAAGTAGAAAGTCGTTACTTTTATGTCATTTTTGCTTGTTTTCATTCCAGCATGTTATTGTAAAAAATAAATACCATCTATATACCTAGACAGAGTGAATTTAATTGTGGTTGAATGAGAAGTATAAATATATAAAATTTTGATACCGTATTAGTTTGTACACAAACAAATCATGTCACCCTCCAGCAGGACATAATCAAAAAAATAAAAGGACTGTACTTAAGAAGTATTTGTTGTCATTTCATGTTTCATGTTTAATCCTAATAAATCAAAGATAAAGTCAGCACCATGAATGAAAACTACCTTCACTCCAGCCCTTTTATATAGTCATTTGACCAATGGAAATACTGTGTTTCTACATAAGATAACAGGTTACAACCTTGTAACTTTGGCAACTGTTGGTGGGCCAAATCAAATGGCTTGGCGGGCCAAATTTGGCCCGCGGGCCCCACTTTGGGCCCCTCTGGTGTAGACTGAGTTCACATGTCTGGACAAGACTTCTGTTTAGCTTGGATTTTGACCCTGGTAGGCTCAGTGTTGTTCCCTTGAAGGAGTCCTGTTCTCCACAAGATTGGTCACAATCTGTGACAGTGGAGATCTCGTGGCACAACTATGTTTTTGTTCTTAAAAGCTGTCACTAAATTTGAAATAAATGGTGGAAAGGCAGAGGTCCAACAGGATACAGATCTGGTCCAGGGTGTAGTTGGGCCTATTGCTTGAGCCATTATCTTGTTGAAGTCGTTTTCTGACAGTTTCCACTGCTTCTGATGCGCAAGATGCTGTAATTAAATAAACTCTAATGTTTAAGCAGAAATAGTCTCCAACTATTAAAATTAAGTAGCATCTTTTATTTAAAAAAACTGAGCATAAAAGGAATTTGTTAACACCATTTGAATAATAATCAAACAATAAAAAGAGAAAAGAAAAGGGTGTCCCACCGGACATCAAAAACTCTCCAGTTTTAAATCACAGATTAAAACTCTTCTCTTCAAACAGGCTTGTTCAGTTTAATCACCATCTCCCATTAATCCTATTTTTTGTAGGATGTTTTGTTTTATACAATGTTTTTATTTGTTAATTGTTATGTAAGCTATGATGTTTTATTATTTTATTATTTGCATTATTCTTTTTGTTTTATTGCATTGTATTTACATTGTACAGTGTCCTTGAGTGCCATGAAAGGCACCTTCAAATAAAATGTATTATTATTATTATTATTATTAAAAGAGATAAAAAGCTGTTTGAAATGAGTGAGTGAGTGAGAGTGTGACACAGCAAAAACATCAAGCCGGGTTAACACACACACACACACACACACACACACACACACACACACACACACACTGAAAGCAGGACAAACCCAAAGGGCTTACTGGGAATGACAGAATTACAGACTGGAAGAAAGAGGATTATAAAATCTGGCATCAGACAACGGCTGACAACATTCTCAAACACACACACACACATACCCACACACACACACACACACACTCACACGTGGTATTAGAAGGGTCCAAATAAGAAGGGCGTTTAACTTTTATGTACCCCGCAGTTTCAAAGAAAGACATCAAACCTCCCAGCCTTCTGGGTGAACATAATATAAACGTCAACTGGCAGCTACACTTGGTCTTGGCAGCATCAGATACATTCATTCACAATTATCTACATGTCTGGGCACACAAAATAAAAGGATGTCTTGCAAAAACAACAGATTTTGGAGGGTCACAGGTAAATCTCTGAAGGTGTTGACATGATTAACTTAAATGAAGAAAATGTTTGATATGAAAATGGCTTTAAAAATGTCTTGCCATTACAGTTAATGCACAATTTAAGTTGATTTGTAGTTCGAGATCTTGAATTTTTTATTGGAGTGTTATAAAATAACATTAATAGCCAATTTAAATTATATCGTTAGGTTACATTAGTAGAATAGCCTATTGTCAACATAATTATGGAGTGTGATTTATTTTCAAATCGAAATAGCTTCAAACTAAAGAAATATAAAGTTATTAGTGAAGAAAATCAGTCTGGATAACAGCAGACTGACTGCAAGTAAAATTTAGGGCAGGTCTGGACCACTCGTGAATTTTGTTCGTATATGGAAAAAAAAATCTTACGAAAAAATTGATGAATGGGACATGTTCCCTTAAATCACTCGTAAGTATAACTTAAGAACAAATCTGTTTGTACGAACGGTTCTTGCATAAGGCCCATTGACTTTAAAAACAAATTTATTTTATATTGAACAAAGTGTCTCGCCTTGCACATAGGACTACAGCCACTCTGACTGGATCAAATCAAATATACAGAATGATATACACACACACAGACAAAAAATATTAGTACCCCTTGTTTAATGAAAGAAAACCTACAATGGTCACAGAAATAACTTGAATCTGACAAAAGTAATAATAAATTTAAAAATATTCTATAAAAATGAACAATTCAATTCAATTCAATTCAAAAATACTTTATTGATCCCAGAGGGAAATTAGGTAAAATGAAAGTCAGAGATTGCTTTTCAACCATGCTTCAACAGATTTTGTTTTTTTTAATAAAACTCATAAAACAGGCCTAGACAGAAATTATGGTAACTTAATATTTTGTTGCACATCCTTTTGAGGCAATCACTGCAATCAAATTATTCCTGTAACTGTCAGTGAGACTTGAATTCAATTCAATTCAAAAAATGTATTAATTTCATTAAAAATAGCTATATACAATAAAAAAACAATGAAATTACACACATGAAAAATCAAAACAAAATGAAAGGTTGCAGACTTCTGCACCACAGGAACATCAAACTGATTGGAGATGGTCTTATAACCTTCACCTTTAACATGTTTGTCTATAATTTTCTTTCTAAACTCCTGAGACAACTCTTTCCTTTGCTTCCTCTGGTCCATGTTGAGTGAGGTCCACACCATGTCACCAAACAGCACAGTGAGTATCTGTAGCCCTACAGTGGTTTGCAAAAGTATTCATACCCCTTGAACTTTTCCATATTTTGTCACATTACAACCACAAACATAAATATATTTCACTGGAATTT